GCTGGAGCCTCCCGTGGGTGACAAGGGCCCAGGGGAGCTGAGCTCTCAGCACAGAGCAGCATTACACCCTCCACAAGCGAGATGCTCCTGGAGGCTTTGCAAACGTGGTGCAAAGGTGAGGGGTGCTCACGGGCTTGCAGAGAAGTCACATGAAAGGCACCAGGCCCAGGGAGCTGTCAACACGTCTCCCGAAGGTGCCGTGTGGACACACTCTCCCATCCAGGACCGGGCTTGGCTTGGCTGTGGGATGCGACCCCTGTGCGCAGTGCAGCCGGCAGGCGATACAGAAGCTATGTGCGCTGCAATGGGACGACTCCTGCCCTGTGTCAGCCCCACACACGGTCAGACGTCCGGCCGGCCTCTGCGCAGCGGGCCTTCTCATCCCCGCAGCTGGGCACAGCCTCCCACAGGCCACGTCAGCGCCCCCAGCACCAGGACACGGACAGTGAGGGTGGAAGGGAGCTCAGGATGTCACATCTAGTCTGACATCTAGTCTAGTCCTGCGCTCCAAGCAGGACCAGCCCCAACCACGTCATCCCAGACAAGGCTTTGTCTACCTGGGTCTCGAACACCTCCAAGGATGGAGACTCCCCCACCTCTCTGGGTAACCTGCTCCAGTGCTTCACCACCCTCCTCGTGAGAAAGTTTTTCCTAATATCCAGCCTCAACTTCCCTTGCTGCAGCCTGAGCCCATTGCTCCTTGTCCTGGCATCTGCCCCCACTGAAAACAGCCCAGCTCCATCCTCTTTGCAGCCCCCCTGCAGGGAGGTGAAGCTGCTATTCAATCCCCCTCGCTCTTCTCTTCTCCAGACTAAATCAGCCCAGTTCCCTCGGCCTCTCCTCACCAGTCCTGTCCCCCAGCCCCACAACCATTTTCGTTGCCCTCCACTGGACTCTCTCCAACGTGTCCACATCCCTTCTGTCGTGGGGGCCACAGCTGGACACAGGACTCCAGATGTGGCCTCCCAGTGCTGAATAGAGGGGAAGGATCACTGCCCTCCATCCGCTGGCACCGCTCCTGCCAACCCAGGATGCCGGTCACCTTCTTGGTGGCACACTGCTGGCTCCTGTTCAGCTTCTTGTCCCCTGTCCCCCCAGGTCCTTTCCTGCAGAGCTGCTGCCCAGCCTGTCACCCCCAGCCTGCACCGGTGCAGGGGATCGCTCCCTCCTCAGTGCAGCACTTTGCACTTGTCCTCGTTAAACCTTGTGAGTTTTTTTTTGGCCCAATCCCCCAGTGCGTCGAGGTCACTCTGAACCCTCCCAGCCTAGCCCATTTCGATAGCTACCAGCGTAGGCAGAGCTGACCAGCAGAGACCCGATGATGGACTGGGGAGGGAGGGGCGGGGGCACTTAACTCCATAGATCGGCCCATTATTTAAATTTCAAGATGAATATTTATTTTTCTGATTAACCCCCTCCCCCTAACCAGCACCAGGCACAACTCCCCCCGCCCCGCTCCCAACCAGCCCATCCTCTGCCCAGAGCCACCTCCTGATTAATTAGAGCGGCTCCTAATGGTAGTCGGGGGTGGGAATGGAGGGGGCTTGCCCCCCTCTTCATCACGACCCGTAATGAAACCGGGTGCTGGAAGGGGGCTTCTGCCGCATCCAAGACCCCACCCAGGGCGAGGAGCGGGTGGCCAGCACGAAGCACAGGGAGCAGAGGAAAGGAAAGGGAATGGAGGAGACGCCTGTCTACACTAGGGCGCCAGGCCCCGGGTCCATCCCTTGCCTGGGGGGGGCCCGTGGCTTCCTCCAGAGCCAGGACCCTCCACACCACCATCCACAGGCAGCGGAGCCTGGGAGCTGAACCCACTTTCCACATCAGTTTGGAGGACTCTGGCAATTGCTCACACGTTCATTTTCTTCCCGTAACAGGGTGAAGAAAGGTGGTGTTTTAAAATGCCAGAGAGCTCTTTGTTCCCACTCGCTCTCAACTGTTAATGGCGTTGCAGGTCCTCGTCCGTGCCATGGCCAGCAGCAGGGAAAAAGACACGAAAAGAAAGGTAAAAAGCAGCGCCGGGCTTGTCTGCAATACGGCGGGAGTCTGTGCATTTGAGCCAAGGTTTGCAACGAGGGCTTGGGAAATAAGACGTGGTGGCAATGGGCAATAGCACTGTATTTGGCAGCGGGAAGCTGTTTAAGCAAGCTCATTAACAGGCCAACAGCTACAACCCTTAAATTGCAAAAGGAGACAACAGCCTGCTAAAAAAAAAAAAAGGCCTGGTTAAAATGGGAGGTGAACGCAGCAATAAAAGATTTAAATAAATGCATGAGCAAAGGGGAGCGGATAGAAAGGATTCTAAGTTAGCCGTCATGAAACGCAGACACTTGATAAGGGAAGCAAAAACTATTAATGAAAAAGAAAACCTCTAAGGCCTATAGGTTTTATGATAAGAAGGATTTTTTTCCCCAGTAGTTTGGAGTTCAAGAACTGTTAGCAAACCTATAGCTGTGTTACTAGAAAAGGTTGGTAAGTCTGACTGAAGATGCAGAAAAAACTGTGTTTTGGATTTGTTCTGCGTTTGAAAAGAGGCTCATTGAAGCATTTGTGTCTCACCAGGACCGGGAAATGTCTTCTGTCCCATCAGCATCTAGAGAGGATGTGGACGAGCAACTGCTCAAACTGAATGCTTTCAAACTTACACTCAAGAGTTTTAAAGTGATTGGCCGAGGAGCTTTCTGAGATCTCACAATTCGTTTGGGAATGGATCTCAGGAGGTCGCATCTAGTCCAGCCCCCTGCTCCAAGCAGGACCAGCCCCAACTACATCATCCCAGACAAGGCTTTGTCTATCCAGGGCTTAAACACCTCCAAGGATGGAGACCCCCATGCCCAGGTAACCTGTTCCAGTGCTTCACCACATTCCTTGTGAGAAAGTTTTTCCTAATATCCAACCTCAACTTCCCTGGCTGCAACCTGAGCCCATTGCTCCTTGTCCTGTATCTGCCCCCACTGAGAACAGCCCAGCAGTCCAGATACCCATGATGCTTTTTTTTTCTTTGGATGATGAAAAATATTGGGGAAGTTCCAGGGCACTTCAGAAGAGCTAACGTTGTGCCAGTATTTAACAAGAATAGCGATAGGCCAGCGCCCTTGATCTTGGACAACATCGCGGATAGGTTGTCACAAGACCGAGTCAAGTGCATAAAACACTTTTTACTTGGCAGTACTACGCCGCTGGGTAAACTTGACTATGCTGAGAAAGGCAGCATAAACCCCCCCAGCCAACATGGCTTGGGATAGAATAGGTCTCATTTTCTAATGAGATCATAACTACGATTGACCCCGGCTAAATCGTAGCCTCCCAGGGCTGGGACGAACCCAGAGGCTCACCTGGTCCAAACTCCTGCACGGATGCTCCCAAATCATCCCTGTCCAATGCTGATCCAGCCTCCTCTTGAAAACAAAGCATCGGTGTGACACTGGACTGGGCACTGCGCAGCGTTCAGGTCCAAATATCAGCGTTACGGAGATCGGTGGGGCATCCATCCACGCACCTGATTCAAGACCGGATCCCCCAGACCACAGCAAAGGTAAGGAGGATTTCACTGTGCCCGCTTTCTGCAGCTGCCGCCTCCACATCACCCAGCACGTGGGGGGCGCGGTGCTGCCTGGACCCTGTGCCCCCCTCACCCCGTGACCCACCACCCAGGTTTCCTGGCATCTTTGCTGGTCTTTCTACCACACGCTGCTCCCGATTGAGGCTTCCTAACTCATGCCCACGTTCCCGCCGCCTGCACCTTGCACCGCATCTGAGCAAACCTATTGCTCTGCTGATGGGGCAAGGGCTGCAGAGGCTGCCGCAGATTCAGAATTCAACCTCGGGTGCAGACGGGGGTCTTGGTACCAGCTGACGAGCCAGAGGACAGGCCCAAGGCCCTGCTTGTACCTGGAGGAGCTGCTGGGAGCCGTGCCCAAGCTGGAGGGTGTCCCAGGCTGGTTGTGCATCACGAGGTGTCCCTCCAGCTTGGCACCGGGCTTTTTGAGCTGGGCTCAGTCATTTAATTTCCTAGCTGCATGAGACGGTCTGGAAGCCAGGCTTCCTGGTGCCCGGGGAGAGACACCTCAGTGCCGCCTCTGCAGGGTGCGATCATCCTTGGGGGCGTTCAAGAAGTGCACTGAGGGTCTCAGCTGGAAGGCAGGAGAGCATTGAGGCCAGGGGATGCTTTGCTTGACCTACCTGAGCTCCTGGGAGCATCTCCGCACCTTCCTGTCGGTCAGGTCCTTCTCCCCGGGGGCAGCGCGGTGACCCCATTGGGGACATGGAGCTAAGAGCCCTGCCGGGGGACACATCCTGAGCCTGGAAACTGAGCTCAAGGCCCCCGAATGCCAGGCCTCTGGTTCTGGCTGTGCAGCCACCAACCTTGTCCCTGCGTAGCGGGATGAGGCGCTCTCGGCCGCCCGCCCAGGAGAGGCACAGGCTTGCAGAGGACTGGGGACAGAGCGCTCTGGCGTGCATTGGGCTCGGGCAGTCTCGCTTCCAGGGCAGCTGCCAACTGCTAGTACAGACACTGCAAGGAAAGCCTGTGCTGTCCCCCCTGCCCCGGGGCAGTCTCTCTCAAATTGCAAAGCTACCCCAGCCCAGTCCTGCCCCCGACGCCCTCATTCCCATTAAAACCAGGGGGCACGGATGGGATGCAACACCATCCCTCCACTCCCAAGAAATCCCGCCCTTCCTCTCTAATGGGATTTACTACTGAGGAGCGTAAAAAGATGACTGCAAAATCATTTGGTGTTACTGGGAAACCACTGCTACATGCGCTGGGTTGTATTTTTTCCCTGGGCCGTTTCTCTCGGCCTCTCGATTTGGGCGGCCCCCGCGCACACGCGTGCTCCCCACAGATGCCGGGAGAGATTTGGCTGAAGTACCTGTAGACAGAAGCCGTCCCCGTGCTTAGTTTTGCTACCTATCTAACCCGCTAATAATTGAACATGGATCATCCAGCAGCTCCGAGCAGCGCCGTGAAGCCCATCTCACCCCATGGACCCCGGCCACAGAGCAGAGGACACCGCTATGCAAATACATTTAATGCACTTGGAATACACGAGAAGAGAAAACGTTTAGTGAGTCACAAAAATATTACAAAAGTCGCGTGCGGGGGAGCCGTGCCCGGCGCCACCGGGCCAGGGCAGGAACCGACGTTAGAAACTAATAGAAAATAGTTCAAAGCCTCGGCTAGTTCCACCTCCGTCTCTCTCTTCTGTAAAAAACAAAACAAAAAAGGCCAACTACAAAGGACCGACACGCTGGCTCCTTCCGCGCCGAGTCTGCAGCGTCCTTAGGATCCTAGTAAGAAACACGCGCGCGAAACAGATGAACTACAAAAAGGTTCACCTTGGCTGGAAGCTGCGGGAGCAACCCCGGCGGCCAGCGTTCGGGCTGGGTCCGCTCACGTCGGAAACCCTCGTTACGGCCGAGGTGATCCAGCCCGAGCGCGGCCGGAACAGGACAGGGTTAGTGTCATCCACAACAACGAGCTCTATCCCTTTAAAGGTAGCTTGGTAGGGAAGGAAAAAGCCTTTGTACCCAACCCGGGTCACCGGAGAGAAAAGGGTTTTAACCGGCTCCCTTCCTCCGTCTGGAGTGTGAATATGGCTAATCATCCTCTACGCACCCTGCTCGCTGCTCCCGACCGCGCTTGAATCCAAACCTACCGGGACTTTCAAAGAAGGGCAGAGGGCTCGGGCCTGGATTTGCTCGTGAAGGCTGCTGGGTGAGTACCTGGGCCGGGGGGTCACGAGTCTGGCAGTGCTGAACGAGATCCAAAGGACAAGGATGAAAGGGCAGCGCCTTCCAGCTGTGCCTGGAGGACACGGTCACCTGCCTTCCCCCTCTTCCTGCCCTCAGCTGGGCTCTCGTTTGCCCACGCAGGTGCGAGCCTCGGGTGACACTCAAGGTAAAAGGGATCTAAGGCCCAGCACGGAGACAGAGATGTCCCTGGCCCCGATCCCGTCCCTATCCAGCAACTAAGAGCCCCTGGGCGTGCATCCGTAGGAGCCTCCTACCTGCCACTGCGCTGCAGCAAGACAATATTCAGGGAGCTGCACTCAACAAGGCTGTCCCTGGGCCCCGGGAAAGGAACAAAGAAGCCATGTGGATTCCCGGCTTTGCTAGGAAAAAGCAGAGCTCAGGGAGGAGAAAGCCGTGCTCGTCAGACGGAGCCATCAGCCGCGAAGAGCGGCTCTTACAGCGCCTTCAAAAAGGAGAGAAAACGATTTGGAGCGATTTAAAAAACACAGCGGTGCTTCATGGTGTGCTCTGCAACCATGTCACTGTTATTAGGGACCCCCAACCGCCGCCGGGAATAATGAGGTGCACGCGACTGCTGAATGCTTTGGCCACCTCCCGTTACGTGGCAGGGGAAACAGGCGCCTTGGTGGGAAGCTCAAAACGAAGCTCCTCGGCGAACGTGCCGCTGAGCGCGACTGCGATTCGACCGTCTAAGCAATTTCGGAAGAAACAGAGTCGCGCTGGAAATGAGGAAGTGCATTGCACGCCAGTTAATCGCCTGAGAAACACAGGGCAGGTCAGGCCTCCGTCACCTGCAGGCTGGCTTTCCATCTGAAATTTTGGACTCGCGTTGAATGAAGCTTTAGGAGGGGAGGGGGTCCAGGAAGAGCACACACCGCGATTATAGGAAAAGGTTACGAAGGCAATCGGCTGCTACTGAGCTTGCTAGAACTGCAAGGGCGCCGATGACCTAAATTAGGCTTCAGATGCCAGGATGCGACGCCTCGGAGCCAAAGCCATCAACATTTAGACACTTTTCTGGGGAAACCTTTCCCCTCCACTCTCGTGGTGATTATTAAGAGGAGTGTGGGCATGGAAGAGCCAGCTCTGCCGCTTTACAGCTGAGCTGCTCCTGGAGTTGAATTCAAACGAGAGCTAAGGCACCGCAGTTACAAGGCCCCAAGGCCGGCTCTGACTTTGGGCACAGACACCAGGTACAGAGAGCGGGTAGCAATGAAGGTCCCTTTTTCACCTGATCTTTCTAACAACAAAAGCCCCGAGAAAAAGAAGATCAGGAGAAAGGTCTCGAAATCAGAGGCACTGGAAGAGTTTCCCCGGGCAGGGGCTGGCAACCAGTCTCACCGAGGGAGCAACCCGCACAAGAAGTGGGGCTCGCTCAGTTATTGAGCCCGCAGGTTTGCACCTGGGGGCAGGACAGAAGCAGCAGGAACTTCTGCAAACCCCGTTAGCGATTAAAGACCGAGCCGGAAAAAACCACATCGTTGCTCTTGTCATTGCGTTGCTACCACAGTTCACAGACAGCATCATGTCAGGTGAATGCTCCTGCTCGCTCAGTGAATCTTAAATGAAGTTTTGATACAGATTAAACTAAAATCCCTTCTTTATTCGTGGTGTTTTACGCTGGGCACTTGCTCTGTGCAACCCCACGGGTCTCCGGTGTCGGGCTTCTGCAGCATCTGCGACAGGGGAGCCAGGAGACTACGGGGGAGCGGGGATTCCTCAACGAGGAGGAAACGCCACGCCGTTTCATTTCCAATGCCATTAATGTGCCGTCTGCGGCCATTTGGGTTTTGTGGCATCCAGGTCGCAGATCTCCGAACGAATGTACGAAGGCGGCAGGATGGGAGCGGCTGTTCTCAGCCAGCCCGGCTTGGAAAACCCCCGCAGGGTCCACCCAGCGCATTGCCCTTTTTATACCGTTTACTCGTTAAAAGAAAAGTCTCCAGGGGGCTCTTTCTCCACACACACCCCCTCCTCCAGGCCACTGACCAAGACAAAAGCTGGCTACAAGTATGTCGGAATTTGAGATCCAGGTCTCTTGCCAACTGAACAAGTCTTTGGCACAGCTGCAGGCTTCAACGGAAGAAGAGGAAAGGAGAGCACTGGGGGAAGAGTCCTTGAAATACTGATCAACTTGCAACCTCCTTGCTCTAAAATCAAGAGACAGGAGTGCGATCCTGGAGTTGCAGGCTGCCCTCGCCTGCAAAGCCCGGTCAGCGGTCAACAGCAGGCTGGAGAGTCTCCTCTTAGCAGCAATTTTAGCTTCTAAACGACGTAGGAGGATCCCAAGTTCACCCGTGGAGACATAGCGTGACTGGGCTGTTGGCAAGGCGGGACGAACAGGGCTTGCGAGGCAATGTCTTGGACACGGAGACACCGGTCACATGTCAGCTGACCACATCATGTGCCGGACTGATCTACAGATGTGATGTGTAGCATGCGGGAGTCTCCGAGGCGCACGGTGGGTCCAGCCACGACCTCCACCCATGAGCATGGATGCAACATGCGTGTGAGAGGCAGAAGTGAGGAGCCCTGCCGGGAGGAGGAACGTCACCTACGTGTGGCACGTGCTTGGCTGCCTTGCAGAAAGGTTCACGTGGCCCCAGGGGACTTAGGGCAGGAAATTTCAAGCTCTCAGAGTGGCACCGAGCTTAGCGACGGTCTGCCCCTGGTGATCCCTGGGAACAGCAGCACTTGACTGTCCTCATGTTGCTTTTCCATGGAGATGCGAACCATCAGCTTCTTTTGGTGCGATTACGGGCTGCCATGCATGTGAGCTCAGCAGTAAGGGCACGACTCCAACTGCCCACGTGCCCATCACCCTGCTGGACCCAGATACAACTGCTCGTTCTCTTCCACCGTGATCCGGGGGCAAGGCTGGGACATATTCAGGCCGATCTCTGCCCTGGGGCCCCTGGATGTGGGCCCACGATGCAGGAGAGAGCACGGGCACACACAGACTATTAACCGGGACAGTGACTGCAGCCAAGTATGCCTAGGAGGTGAAGGCTGTCGCCGCCACGTGCTGGCTGGCACGTGCACATTCGAAGTGGTGCTCTTTGAAGCAGGATTTTGAGATGCTCCTCGGAGCTCAAGTGCTGTTATCAAGTCCCTGTCTTCTCCGCTGGACCCAGGACATGCTGATAAGCAGCATGGGGCTGGGACCCAGATATTTGCAAAGCCCTTCTGTGCCCAGGGAGTGTGCCTCCCTCAAGAGCTGCCAGTGACACTCCTGGGAACACCGGCTCCGCTGTGCCGGGACCCCCTCCCAGCAAGTCCTAGGCAAACTCCTAGCTCCTACACTGCTCCTCAGCCAGCATCAAGCAGCCCCGAATAGCACTGCGAAGACTAACAAAATCCCCCTCTACCCAAAGGAACCTGAAACTAGAAGCGATGACAAGGTCCATGTGAGTTTTGGCTGTTGCATCAGGGTGTTAGGATCACTGAAGGCCTCTTCACACGGCCACAGAAGCAGCCACGCTAGCTGGAAGGTCGAAAAGGGCAGGGAAGAAATCTGGACCCACCTACTAAGAGGAGAGGGATTTGCTCTGAAACACCAGCTCGGGAGGACGCCTTAGGGCCAGAGAACACCCCACCCTGGCAGCGAACAGGCCAGTGTGATGGCCTGCAGCCCATCGCCAATGAAGCTGCCATTAATGACCTGCTCTTCCATGCCTAGGTGCAGCCTGCAGAGCCTTATGCTCCGAGACCCAGCCGCAGCCTGGCTCCCCCCAGCCGCAAGGTTCAAGGCCTCAGCCTGGGGCTGGAGTCCCAAGACCACTGCAAAAATGGCCATTGATTCAGGGCCACCCCTCTCAGCAATGGGCTGAGCGCACGGCAAAGCCCAGGCTGCTTATACAGAGGAAGAACCCTGAGCGCAGAGGAGCAGCTCTGCAGGCAGGAGCGCTCAGCAAACAAAGGGATCCTGGCATCGCGCACAGAACATTTAATCCGGGGATTACGTGCTCACACCTGGCAGCCTGCGTGTGCGCAAGGCACCCACGCCCTGGGCTGCAGCAGGGGAGCTCTGCAGCCGGACGAGGCAGTGGGGTCTCACGCTGGCTCCCCGGAGCCCAATCCGTTGCCCTCCCATGGGCGCCAGCTGCTCCTAGGAAGGTCGGCCCCAGGGAGCCGGGGGGGAGGGAAGGGGCTTGACGTGGTCCGGTTCTGTCTGGGCTGGGTGTGCAGTGGTTGTGCGGCCGTCCCTTCGAGGTGCAGGAATAGTCTGTACTGCATTTGTTAGCCTGTGAGTCACTGGGTCATGTACAGTCACGTGGCTCTCCCAGATGGCACGGGGGATCCAGCTCTACTGCAGCGGGTTGTCGAACACGGAGTCTGGTAAGATGGAGACCTTCAGCTTCTTTTCGGGCCAGCTGTATTCCTTGGGAAGCTTAAACTACGAGGCAAGAAAAAAGCCCGTTAGTGGCCGGCACCACAGGCCAGCCCGCGTTACACAAGAGCTGTTACCCAGGCCGGCAGCCCTCCAGCTCACAGCGAAGCAAAAGGCCGCGCGGGAAGCATTTCCCCATCAGTGTATCTTGGACCGCAGTGGACATGAGATAATGTGGCCTGTGTCTCTGTTGCCAAAGTCAAGTTGGGAGGCTGCAGCCCCAGCATTGTTTACTTCCTCTGCCGGGTGATTGTTCCCATCGCCACCCCTGGCCCCAGTCTCAATAAAATCTTGCAAGGGGCAAGTCTCTCCCCTCCCGCTTCAAGGGCTCTGTTTCCTCCAACTCTTCCCAGGCCCCATGATCCCCTTTGTTTGCTTTAGAGCAAGACTCCCAGGGACTGGAGAATGCTGCCTCAGGGGCGGGGAGGGGAAAGCCTCTGCTTTGCGGAGAACGAATGGCTGCAGGGGCCGAGCAGGGGTGACCGCGTTCCTGAGCTCACTCGAGACCCAATTTATGCCTAGGCAGAAACAGGACAAACCCCACGACTTCCCTAGCATGCGGACAGGGCCGCTAGCTGGGGGCTGGCCCATATGCCATCCCACAGTGCACCGCATCCTGCTGGGGGGTCACCTCAATGCGGCAGGGGGAAGTGGGGGCCCACAGCCTGAGGAGCACTGCCACCACCGTGCCAGGCAGCCCTAATGGGAACAGCTTTGCTGTGGGCTGCGCCGAACTGTGGCAAGGAGAAGCCACATGAGCCGCTCCCCTGTGCCCGTGCAAGGGGTGGGCAGACAATTTCTGCCTGGAGGCCAAGACTAGGCAGAGGGGGTTGGGGGGGACCTGCTGTGTTGCAGCGAGTCGGAGGCTTCCAGAGGGCTCATGAGTGGGTCTCAGAGGGGGAACCGAAATGCCAAGCAGGGCCACAGCCCGAGGCAGGTCCCGGTCGTGTGTGGGGCATGACGGTGGCCTGGCTGTCCCCAGTCCTGTGGGCTGGGGCTTTCAGATGAACACTGCAGCACTCCAGGCCTGCCGGCTGCAAGGTGCCCAGAGCTGCTGGGAAGAGGCTTTGGAAAGCTGGGGCATGGTACACCCAGTACTAAGATCTTGTTGCATCTACAGTCTGGGCCCAGCTCACGCTGGGAACTCACCAACACCTGCAAACCCGATTGGAGCCAGGACCTAGGGAGAGGAATGGGTGCAATACTCATTCTCTGTCCCATAAGGTGCTTTGAATGCCCTGTCCCCTTCTGGGTCTCGAGCTTGGGCTCACTTTGCCCTGCCAGTGAGGAACGACCGGTGCGACGGACACGGCTCTGCCACTGCCTGCTGCATGCTGAGCTTGCACCCGACACGCAAGTCGTGCCACTGATTTAGGTTGTGGGCCAGCTCAGCCCAGGGGACCCCCAGTCCAGAGGCCTGAACCATGAAAAATGCAGCAGCGAAGCCTCCTTGGAGCCTGGGCTGGGCCTCCAGGAGGTGGGGGTTCCTTCCACTGCACAGCTGGAGTGGGGGACTGTCCCTCTGCAGCTCTCACTGGGTTTTCCCACCTCTGCCGCTGGATATCAGCAGCTGCCGGAGGCTACGGAGGCAGCACAAAGCAGGGTCCTGTACCTGACAAAGCTCTGGCCTTCCACCTAAAACCTGTGCCACTGCAAAGTGGGACAGGTTCCAACACAGCTTGGGCCCTTTGCTTTTGGAAGGAGCCGCAGACCGCCAGCTAAGCAAGCCTGGGCCACAGGCACTGCCTGGCCATCCTATCTGGGATAGCGGACGCCAGTGGGAGAGAGCCCGGGATCAGGTTCGGAGGGCTGAGAGCTGGCCTGACAGCGCGCCGGGTGCTCAAACCCCACCGGCAGCTGTTCCTGCCGCACGTAAAACCCGTTGGGAGCCAGCTGGGGATGAAACAATTAGAGCAGGGAGCGCTCTCTGGGAGGGGGCAGCCGGGAGGAGCCGTGCTACCAGTCCTGGGAAGTTTCCTTAGCGTCCGCAGGGAGCTGTAAAACACAGGATTAAAAATACCACGTCGCTCCTGCCCCTGCTCTTTGAAGCGGGGTGGGCTGCCTCCGTGGGGCATGGGGAAGGGACTGAGGTGCTAGGTGAAAGCTAAGCTTTCCGGAGCCGCGGTGGCTCAGCGCTGCCTGGCTGGCGACGCACGGCTGTGGGCGGCCAGTGGGTCGGACGGAGGACAGGCGGCAGGTGTGAGAAAGCCCCTGTCCAGGCCCCCAGACCGAACACGGTCTTTGAAGTGCACACAGGCTGCTGCACGCTCGGTGGCGGAGGGGGGAGACAGGAACAGCGTGGCCTTACTTCCTCCGGAGACGTCAGGTCCTCCAGGTCCTCCAGCATCCTTTCGACGAACTCTTCGGTCAGCAGGATCTGCAAGCGAGACACAGGCCGTTATTCTTTGGTGCGAGCTGCCTGCCAAGCTGCAGGCTCCTTTCTTCTGCACAGAGAGGAGACTGTACTTGCTTCACTTTCTTGGCAGCACAAAGGTGGGAGGCCTCTTGCTCATGGTGCTGCTGCCCCCGCCAGTGCCAGCGAGGCTCGGATTATCAAGCAATCGTCTTCCCCTGTCAATTATCTCCCTGTGCCTGAAAGGATGAGGGAAGGGGGAGGCAGAGGAAAGGGTCGCAGGAGGTAGTGGGCGATGAGAACATTTCTATCTGGGGCACTGAAGTGAAGCCTTGCATTTAGCTGTGTTACAGCTGGGGCAGGGGCTGGGCAGCCTGGCACCGGCAGGGAGTCTGCCTGCTGGGCACTGCCAGGGCTCTGCTCCGGAGAGCACGGTGCCATTAACAAGTCCCACAGGTTGGGATATGCAGCAGGGCTCTCGGGACCCTCCGACTGACCCTTCCCTGTCTCCACTGGGTCCACCCATCACCTGCCCCTGAAGGACAGGGAAGCCTCCAGCTTGAGTGCCTTGGGCAGTGGCTTCTGCCTGCCCAGCTGGCAGCGGTTAATGCCAGGCCCCAGGCGCCCACCAAAGAGACCGCAGGAGTCATCTGCTGCATCCTCCCCTGCAGAGGCAGGTTCAAGTACACCCAGACCAGCCTGGACAAGCTCATCGCCCAGGCACTGCCCAGCCTTCCCGAGTAACCTGCCCCAGCGTGTCATTGCTCGTGTGATTATAACAACTTGGCTTTTTTACTAACGTTTTTTTAAGCCTCCCCCCCCAGAGGCGCTGGTGCTGCTGCAGCGCAGGCTGGGGATGGGGCTGGGCTGTGCCAATGCTCCTGCTGGCACTGACCCTGCAGGGTCCTGGCTGGAGGGTCTTGCCCCTGCGCTCAGGCTCAGACCGATGCTGCACTTGGGAGTCAGGAAAGGATTTCCCCCCCGGTCAGACTGGTACAGACTGGCGGGGATGGGGGCCTCTGCCCGGGGTCTCTCAAACATCTATGAACAACCTTTGCTGCAGCAGGACGTTGGCCACCGCAGCCCCCCTGCTTTCCCTGTGGCAGGGGCGGGTGTTATGTCTGGTGCCGTGTCAGGAGTGACCGTATAGTTTGCCAAGAGGGTGGACAATGGATGTCTCTGGGGTCTGATAATGCCACAGCCAGGGGTTGGACTGGATGCGACCTCTGCAGGTCCCTTTCAGCCCCATGGCTCTAGGATTCAGTGACTTAGCATCTTGCCCAAATCTCGCTGGCTGCAAGCTCTTGTCCTTCCCCAGCAGACATAGAGAACAACTGATCGGCACCCCTCTATAAACACCTTTATATACTGGATTTTTGTGTCTCTGTCTCCCTCCACTTCTCTTTTCTAAGGAAAACCAGCCCAGCTTCTTCAGCCTTCCTGTCCAGGGCAGGCTTTCCAAAACTCTCGCCATTGCTGTTGCTGTGCTCGGGACCCCCTCCTGTATCTTCCTTAAGTCTGGGATCTGCTTCCACCCCTGATCTTCCCTGCCACCTCGCTGCCCTCTTTTGCATTTGCTTTCTCCTCCCAAAATGCAGCACCTGGCATGCATCTCACCCCCACTCCATCAGCCAAGTCTCTCAAACCAATACTGAACAGACCCCGAGCGGACCCCCCAGAAGACGCCTGCTCAATGCAACAGGGAACCCGGAGAGTGATTATTTCAAACCAATGTACAGCCACACCTGACCGCTCAAAGGGTTGCATGGGAAGCCCGTGGCCTCCCATGCGAGACTCTCCGATTCAGCCAGACGGGTCCAGAAGGGAAGGCACCGATCCCTCAAGCTGCTCTTACCAATTGCTGACAAAATCAAGGTGTCCCTGGACCGCCAGCCCCTTGGGGCACGGGCCCTGGGCCAGCACCTGCAGCACCGCAGGTGAAGCGATGAGAAGCTACGACACCTGCGGATTGGAGACGCCAGTTTGTTGATGGACGAGGAAGAAAGCTGGACAGAAACCAAGGGGGCTGCTTGCTTGAGGCCACCCTGGCTTGCGGGTGGGGAGTAACCGAAGGGTGAGCTCGGTAGCGAGGCAGGGAGAAGAGGCCTGGGTAGGGCACTGTGGCCCTGCGGGCAGCCGTGAGTGACAGAGCGGTGGGTGGGAGGATGAAGAATGCGACCGATGGAGCAATCTGCCCGGCGGCTGGGAAGGAAGGAATCAGCCGTCAGAGCAAGCAGAGGTGGGACAGGAGAAAACACGCATTAGGCAACAGGACAAGACGAGCCAAAATTAACGAGGCGGGACGGGCAAGCAGGGGGCAGCGAGAAGGCTGGCTCTGGCACCAGGAATCAGATCCAGGGCGGGGAGGGAAGGAGAGACTCCAGGGACTGGAGGGGCAGGACAGGGGAAACAGGCTCTCGGAGGAAGGAGTCTGTCTGCCAGCTAGAGAAAGAACGGATGTGAGGAGCGGGCGAAGTCCGCGGGGTCAGAGGGATGGGCACGGTCCATGCACGGGCTGGGCAGAACAAAGGGCGGTCGCGCCAGCTGGGGATGAACGTTAGCAGGAGCCAAGTGATGCAAACAGGCAGTCGACCCATCTGAACTGAAACAAGACAACCCTATGCCCAGCCCTGGACAGGGGACCGGAGAAGGAAGCTGGGGAGCATGCGAGCGACCCCGTGCTTAGGGCATGCTACTGTTTCCAGCAGCCTTTCTCCCCTTGCAGAAGAGAGAGGCCACCTTCTCGAGGCAGCTGGGAGCTCACAGACACCTGAAGAGGTCTAGGAGGAGAGACGCAGGTCCCAGGCTCAAGCCAGCCTCTCCTGTTACCGATAAAGGTCAGGAGGCACCAGCTGGACGGATTTCCACTCCAGGGAACAGAAGGCGGAGGCTGGTCCTGAGACGCTTCTAGTGCAAGGCACGCAAGGCTGCCTCAGCCCCTCCTCACGCCCACTTCCCGAGCTCGCACGTGGCAGGCCCATTCCCGCAGAGCTCTTAGCGTGCGCACAAGGCACGTGTGATATCCAAGGTGACATTCCCAGCAAATAAACACCAGTGACTGTTTGTCGCGGCTCACTTCACATCCGCCGGGACTGAAACCTCTGCAGCTCCAGTGGAACAAACAAGCCCTGGTCTTTGCAGGCTTCAGACCGGGACCTCGGCTCTTCCTTGGAGGAGGTTGCAGATCTTGGCGACGGGACGCTGCTGAGAGACGGTGAACGTGGAGCGGTCGCTTTGCTCTCTGGAGATCGGCAGAGACTCTCGGTTGTGATGCAACGATGGGAAAGGCTTGTGCAAGTCCCAGGCCAAACGACAGGGTTTTCAGCAAGGTCGGTGCTGGCTCGGCCTTGGTCTCTGAGCACAGCTGCTCTGCCCTGGCAGCTCCTGGGACGTGCCGGTGTCCCACTGGGCTCAGGGAGGCTTCAAAGACTCACCACACTGGCGCTGCGCAGACACTGATAGACTCAGAGCAGTGAGGCTGGATGGGATCCTCCAGAGGTCACATCTGGTCCAAGCCCCTGCCCGAGGCAGGATCAGCCCGGTCCAAACCACCCCAGACAAATCCATCATTTGAACTTTGTAAAATGACAGCTCCGCCTTGGCGATGCCTGCCTGCCATACGCACGAGGAATGGCGTCGGAGCCCAGATGGGCCTTTCAAAGACGCTTCCCTCCACCCTGCCCAGCTACGGTCAAGCAGGGTCTTCACTGGGGAACCCAAGGCCTGATCCAGGGGCGGGGGCAAGCACCTGCAGCCCCCAGGGAACAGGGTCAGGCTCCATTTTATACACGACCGGTGGCTCTGTGAATGTGCCGCTTATTGAATCAACAGGGCAGCTCCAGGCCTAAAACGCGGGCAGCCTCCTGCTTTCAGGAGGCTCAGGCCCATTGCAATGGCTTGGAAGCCTTAACAGGGAACAGGCTAGTCCTGACCCATGGATACAGCTTCCCCAAGTTGCTCATAAGCCTGGCCTGGCTGGTGAGCGTCTGACCACAGGAATCACAGAGCAGCCAGGCTGGAAGGGACCTGCAGACGTCACATCCAGTCCAACCCCTGCCTGGGGCAGGATCAGCCCTGTCTGAACCAGCCAGTGCAATCCATAATCTAAACTCGGCACAAGACGAACGTCATCCCTGACACAACACCAGACATCACATCTGAACCTGCCACAGGGAAAGCAAAGGAGATACCTTGTCCCACGTGCTCTATGCTACAGGCAGTCCCTGGCGCATCACCAGGCCCATCCCTCGCTGGTCTCCTCTGTCTCATGTGCAGAGCGGCTCGGTGTAGAGGCTGTTTCTCCTGCTCAGCTCGTGACATGTCTTGCCCAGCAATGCAGTGGGGATGCAGGCCCTCCAGGGCCATGCCGCTGCATGAATTCACTGCAGACTTCCCCTCGGCCTCGCCGTAGCTACCCGAGGGAGATCTCTTCGGTGGGCAGCTCTGCTGCTGTGCCCCTGGGAGGCAAAGAGACCTTTCTCTGGAAGAACAGGTACTTACATGTGCCCTTGGGCCCAGCTTGCTCCAGTGAGTGGTGTTACGGTCCCAGGGCAGGGGAAATACAGACTGACTGCCATCCCTTCCTTCCTGTGACATCCCTACTCTGCTGGGAGAGCTTTCAAACCCGCCTGGCAACAGGGAACAGGGCAGTTTGGAGCCTGCCGGCATTGCTGTCGATGCCCCGCATGGGGTTGCTGCAGTGCCCGCCACAGCAGCCTGGGAAGGGAGATGACAATAGCCCATACACTATTTAAGGTTGAGGCAAATTCTCTGGGATGCCACAAGCGGTACTGCTGCATCTGGCTGCCCTGAGGGGCATCCCCATCTCCCTGGGGTGAGGGGACTCACCAAAGCTGGTATCTGTTCTTGGCCTGGCGTCCAGCCTGCTCGCTATGACTTTCCCTCTGGGAGTCTGGGCGTCAGGCTTCATTCCAGCAAGTGCTGAATTGTTCATACAACGTGGAATAGCATCAGCGGACTGAGAGCACTCTCTTCCCCCAGGGATACGTACCCAAGAGCTTTGC